TGATCACGATCAGAAGTAAGATGTTTATTGAGACACATATCAGTTCTGACATTGTTTGGTATGTTTTGTTTTCTCCTGCAAATTCTCAAATGAAGTTCCAATATGACAAAAACTAAGGTAAGCATGTACTTTAGACTTTTTCGGTTGCCTGAATAGTACAATTCCTTAATCATATATTTACTACCTGATCCCATTTTATTCCAGGAGTCAGTAGTCATTCTTTATGTGCATATTTGTTGAGTTGAGCATTATTTGATAACATGAACAATGCAAGAAGATGAAGCCGCATATAAACATCTTATCCCTATCTACACATAGGTTGAGAAAATGGAGTAATGATTGACACCGGGTAAAAGAGTAGGAAGTGCCATCTGATACCATAGCTTTGTCAAATATGCCCGTTATGGAAGAAAAGCTTGATGGCCTTGTCAAGACTCTTTCTTTTCAGGAATCACCGATTATGTCTACATATTTAGTAGCTCTTATTATTGGCTTGTTTGATTATGTGGAAGCCTCAACCTCTGATGGTAAGGGCCTTAGTATAACTTGGAATTTTTGTTTTCTCTTATGGTTAAGCATAGGGAGTTAGCTAATCATGTAACTGATTATGCTTGCACAGGGATAAAGGTTCGAGTGTACTGTCAAGTTGGGAAGAGTAGCCAAGGAAAGTTCGCTTTAGACGTTGCTGTGAAGACACTGGATTTATATAAAACGTAATGTTGTCTAATTTGTGTTCGTATTTACTTGATCTTATGGCTTCTATGTATTTGGCATGCTTGCTGTTGAGGTGCTCTGATTCTTGCCGAGCAAATTTACATAGACAGTAGTGCTTATCTTTATCAGTTGATGCTTATATAGCAGAATTCAGTAACCATAATCTTAAGTAAATATCATCAGATACTTTGCTGTCCCATACTCACTTCCAAAATTGGATATGGTTGCTATTCCTGATTTTGCTGCTGGGGCTATGGAGAACTATGGTTTGGTCACATATCGAGAAACAGCATTGCTGTTTGATGATCGCCACTCTGCAGGCTCAAATAAACAACGAGTAGATTCTATGCATTTGTTTTTTTGTCCTCATTCTTGATTCTTGTTCTAATAACTGATTTTTTATGCATTGAGAAATAAATTCTTTTGTCATTTTACTGGTTACTTTCAGTATTAACTCATATACTGTTGTTGTAGCTCATGAGCTTGCACACCAATGGTTTGGGAATCTTGTAACAATGGAATGGTGGACTCACTTATGGCTAAATGAGGGGTTTGCGACATGGGTATTTGAATTTTGCTTTTTATTTGTCATACATAAAACTCATACATTGCACTTCTAATGGAATAATTACTGTTTTGCTCTCTTAATACCCAAATGGTTACAGGTCAGCTATCTAGCAGCAGACTCCTTGTTTCCTGAATGGAAAGTTTGGACCCAATTTTCTTGATGAGATCACCATGGGGCATAGATTAGATGCACTTGCTGAATCTCATCCTATCGAGGTAACACTTCAATTATTCGTGTCACTAGATTTTTGAGAGGGCTGCATGGATTTTCAGTGCTACACCCAACTTCATACATGTAACATAAGAAATGATATTGTGATCATCTTTTTAGATGATCTTGTGATTGACTTTTTTGTTTCACAAAACCTGGAAATGGTACTTTGGAATTTAATATAATTAAGTGGTTCTAAATTGAACGTATCCTGTTAGTGTGCACTAAACTATTGTTGTTTCAAGCAATTGCTTTGGATCCCAGCATCTGGTTGGTGAACAACCTTACGATTCTAGACAATCTTTGTCCAGATCATTACATATGGATATGCATTCATAGTGCACATATGCGAGAACATATGAAAAGAATGCAGGGCCAAGCAAGTGCCAATGTATGTAGACTTACCGTTGCAAGCAGGAAGATTCTTTCCATGACGCAAGCACCAGTCACCCAGATAAAAAAAGATCAACTTACTAATACACTGAGATCCACACTCCATATATATGAGTAAATAAACATTAAGATATTGAATACTTCTTGGAGTGGACATATGTCTCCTCTCCTGTCTGGTTATGATTATAATAAGATGGATCATGCTATTATCATCTTGATCTTTTATTATATTATACTTTTACAATCTACTTGTAAATTTGCTATTTGTTTGTTAACCCAAATATAATGGATTATCTTCATTTTGAGTATTTTGCAGCTACAGCCTGGGCTATTCCTTGGGCTATGGCTTCTTTAGGCTTATTGATAGCATGGTGTGTTGTATGGAATAATCCGATTCCAAAATCCTATACATCAAATTTAGTTTGAGTTACTTTGACCATTGTGCATAAACTCAGTTAAACAAGCCTTTTATGGCTATTGATCCTAAGTAGCATATATAGCTCGATCCAGTCCGATTTTGATTTTTGCCCAAATGGACAACCCTGATTTTGGCCCTGATTTTTTAACCATTTACATGGTGGTGATATGATAGTGGCTAATTGAACTTATTTTGTCGCTTGGGATTTCTGATTGTTTTGACCAATCCAATGGCAACTGATGGTAATAGTAGGAAATGCCATTCTGGTTAGTGTTATTCTTCTTGCTAACAAAACTGGGGTTGATAAAATGTTTCTTTTTAATACTAACACTGACAGTAATTAGTTCCAAGCTCTAACACAATGATGTTGCAATGCAAATAACTATAATAATCAGCACAGGTTTAGATATTTTATTGTTAGTTTTGCTACATATGATGATGTTGCAATACAAATAACTATAATAATCAGCACAGGTTTAGATATTTTATTATTATTTTTGCTTCATAAGGATGTGTAAAGCCTTGGTAGTAATTTCAGTAATTATTTGGTGTGTTGACCAGAGTTTTACAACACATTTAATATTTAAAAAGTTTGGTAAAGATCTTTTTGTATGACATTTAACTGTTTAA